GGGAAAGAGGGAGGGCAAATGGGACCAGGAGGAGACGAGGGAGGGGGGCTACAATTGGGATACAAAGTAAATAAATTGTAAAAAGAAAATAAAAATTAAAAATAATTAAAAAGTCTTATCTGGGCCATATCAATTTTAAATTTAATATTCTATTCCTGAAACACGTGTGGGGTATTGTGTGGAATTTACGTCCCATGAAACCAAGGCCAACTATATAGGCTTGAGAAATGAAGTGAGTATGCAAGTATATCACACTGCTAAGTGCAATGTCTATGCGTGCAGTCCATTGTCTTGTGGTTATAATTCTATTAGGAATATTTGAAAAATACAACAATGAAAAGGTAAATCTTATGTAATGGACCGAATGACCCTACTTTTGCTGATCAGTCTCTCTCCTTGATGAGCATACCTGCGTTTCTGAGCACCGTAGGACCTGGATAAGAAGGTGTCATTTGTGCAGAGGAACAGACACCTCTGTTCTGTGCCAGTGATTGCAGGTTTCAAAGGCGTTCAAGGTTATGGCTTCCTGAGAGTTGGCAGACAAGTGTTTGTTCAGTGTACTTACACCCTTCATATCTGACAGACATTTCTTTGTGTCTCTGCTTAGCATGAATCTTTTTGGGTGAGAAATCTTATCTTTAAATCCCTGTTGCTCAATTCCTGCCAGTGTCTTGCTCTTCTTGGTGGCTTTTGTGGCTGCGCTTGGACTGTCCGGAGCCACAGCAATCAGAACCAAGTCACCAAGGTCATACTCACACAGAATGGACAACCGAAACCAGACCCTGAGGAAAGGGACTACCGGAAGGAAAAGAAAGGTGCAAGCTAGTATATGAGAAACGCTACTGAGATGAGCACTGTGTTAAAAATAAAAATGATGTTCATAACGATGAAAATGGGCTTTTTCAGTTGACAGAGAGGAGTGAGGAGAAATGAGACGCTTCCAAGCTTCAGAAACTGTTGGGTGTGGTCATCACATGCAGTGTAAGATCAAACTCGCCATCGCAAATCAGGTCCTGGCCCTGTTCACCACCCCCACCTCAGCTCCTCTACTTCCGCCTTGTTCCTGCACCTCCAGCCACGTTGTCGGCCTGCACACTGCTCTGCTTGGGCTCACATCAACCCACTGACTCAGAGCCTGCACCCTTGCTGTGCCCTCTGAGTGGACCACTGCCTTCATCTCCACTTGGCTTGCTTGCTTACACGCTTCAGCTTTCTATCAAATGGGACTTTCGGGGGGGCCTGTCCTATATAGCCAATGACCTCTCCTCCCTTCTCCACCCACTCATCTGCCTTATCGTTATCTTTTTCTGAACTCCCAACCTGTACTTACTGTCTTTTTCTCATAGGTGTTCTTCCTTGGAGCAGAAGTTCTGTGTGGGAAATGCCTTCAAACTAGTAGCGGTGGAACTTTCTGCATAGCAGCTGAGTCTTTGACAGGAGCGGGGTCAAGGGTTACTTGCACAAATACATGTGTATCTGGTAAAACGGGATGTTCTGGAACCAAATTACCGGGACTCAAATTCCACCTTTGCCTTCTCTGTGCCTTTGGTCACATTATCTAACTTCTCTGTGTATAGTTTCCTTGCTTGTAGATGGGATGATATGGTACCTGCTCAGGTTTATCTTTGAAACTGGGATAACACATATAATATGCTTAGAATGGTATTAAAAACCACAGCCAGCATTCAATCGGAAGGGTTATGACAGAATAATGAAAAGGGAAAAAGAAGCCCTGCCGACTCCTCTTCAGTGCTGGAAATTTCCGTCAAAGGCAGGAGCAGTACTCCAGAGACTTTACCTACCTCATAAGGGCATGCTTCCAAGAGCAGGGAAGTAATTACAAGGGAAACTTTTGGGGGGTCGGGGGGAAGGAAAGTACTATTTGTTTATCAAGCTTCTGGGACATACACCCAGTAGCTCCCATTACTCAAGGCAGCGAAGTCACAAACTGTACACTTAAAGCTTAATGGCTGCATTTGGAGGGTGCTTTCCAAAGTTTCCGAGCCTCGTACAATGAAGAATTTTCCCAAAGGTATCCCTCACAAGCTCAGAAGGTGGAAATTCCTTTATAAGGAGCCTCCTTTAATTATCCATGTTTAGTTTTGACTTCGAGATTGCCTAGTGCGTAATGGCTATATGTATTTTAAACATTTTTAAGCCTTTGGTTGAGAACCGCTGTTATGGTTGGCCAGTACAGAGATTATCTTACTTATGCTAATCCTGTCATTGTAAACCTAGTTTAATAAACACAAAGCAAGTAGAAACATAGTCTTGCCAAGCATTGGACTTGTGCTTTGCATCACTAGATACTGATGACAAGTAAGGCATTGCCAGGCAAAAGGACAGCAGAGAGCATCTTGAGAGAAGGCTTGAAAAGTACCAAACACACGTGTAGCCCAGCTACACGGCTCCTTTGGCCAGTTACTTCCGGTGGGAGTCCACAGCTTCCTGTAGGTGACACTAAGAGAACAATTATTCCAGCCTCTTTCTGGAACTGGTTTTGCTATTTGCTGTCTCTGCTAGCTGAAGAATATGGTGAGAAAGGGTACCCATAAAACAAAACAAAACAAAACAAAACAAAACAACAACAAACTCCTGAAAGTTATCTGTAAGCCACAGCAGCTCCCCAGGAAGCATGTAATTAAAGTAGGAGTGGCTTAATATGGACAGAGTTCCTTCTTCCCCCCCAACCCCCACAGGATGCTCTGGCTAGATGGGTCGGTTCAAAACAGCAAGCACCACTGTTTTCACACCACTGGTGCAGAGGATATGCCTTTTGTCCCCTAAAGATAAGGATTTAATATGTGACTGATTATTTTCTTTTTCTGCCAGGTGCCCTCGGGTGCCAGAAAATTCATTTATAGTTGGAGCACAGCAAGGACAAGGGTAGAGGCCCTACAACCTGCTTTGGATTCTCTTGGATTCTCTTTGGATTCTCTTTGGATTCTCTTTACCCCTGTGTGCTTGCTTGCTGTTCTGATTATTCTTATTCCACTGAAATTTAAAGCACACAGTTATTTAACGATATGTAGTGACGCGGAGTTTCTAAAACCTTTTATGCGACTGGTCTATTTTAATGGCATCTCTCTCTCTCTCTGTGCGTATAAGTGTGTATATGTGCGTGTGTTAGATGCGGAGGCCAGAGGTTGATATTGGATGTCTTTCTCTATTCTCTCACCTTAGGTTTTGAGCCACCAGCTCTTACTGACTCTTGAGCTCACTGTTTCAGCTGGCCAGTGAACCCCAGCATCAGCCTGTTGCCATCCCTACCCAGCCTGTGATTACAGCTGCGTGTGTGTGTCACCATGTCCAGTTTTGCATGGGTGCTGGAGACCTGGACTCAGGGCCTCGTGCTTATACAGCAGGCTCTTTACCCACTGAGCCCTCTCCCCAGCTCTAAGTTTTTTTTATTTTATTTTTTTAATGACAGCCTGCTGTGATAAACATCATTACCATTCACTCCGTACAGGCAGGGAAGCTGAAACTCCAAGATATGAAAGCTTTTCAAGACCCAAATGTCACATAATGTTCACTTTGTATGTAGCACAATCCTATTTCTGAAACAACTAAAAAATGCCTTTCATTATGGTAATGTCTCCAGGTAAGAGTCTTTGCTGAATTAACAACAGTGAACTTTATTTTAAAGCATTATATGAATAAGCTAAAATATGGATAAACTTTAAAAACGAGTTAGGCTAGTAGGAAACTTTATATTTTACCAATAATTATATGTGATTATAAAATTTTAGGCCATTAGAGGAAGATGAAAAATTTTTCTTTGATAAATTTTCTTATTCTGTCTTCTAAAGAAAAAGGCACATGAAAACGATAGAATTTAGATAAAGGTTTGCTTGAAGGTTGGAGAATAGATTATTTGACCTATGGTGGATGAAAATGCCTTTGAAAACTCAGCCACAGCCAGACCTTCCTCATTGCTCATTATAGCCCAGGATCCTCTCTCTAAGGTCACCAGGCTGGCCCTCATCCCAGTGCTCCAGGCGACCGTGCTGTGCTCTGTCCTGCATGAAGGTTGTTTACCGGGAGCAATCAGTCTGAAATGAGCACCTACGGCCCTGGGACACACATGCAACCGAGCGCAAAGCACGCATGAGTCATGTCCACCATCATTCCGTGGCCTTCTCTGCGGAGCAGGGGCTCTTCCGTCTTTCTGTGTGTGACCCGGGGAAGGGGCCACCTGCCCGGGAATGCCAGCCAGCTGTTTCACGATGATGATAAAAGAGGGGCAAGCCTTGAAATCAAAGCAGGGATTGTCTGTCCCCAAATCCAGACACGATCACACAGACACAGTTTCTTAAGCAATGTCACACACATTTACCACATTGTCCTGGTCGTTTCTGCAGACTTCTAATTGCAGCAAATGGGGAACACCACCCCCACGTTTGTCCTGTTTGTCCTTTTCTTCTAAGGTGAATGGCCATGTCAGGAACGACTAAGGCGGTATCACCAATGGCAGATCCTACCTTGATGGCAGATCCAGAACTAGGTTTGGAAAACAGTCTCCCCCTACTCAAGGGATTGTGAGCACACTCTTCTGAGCAATTTTCTCAAAGGCTTTTTGGGAGCTTTGCAGATAATGGCCGTGCAGCTAGGTCAGGAATGGATTACCTAAACGGTTTCTCTGTCTCTTGACAGTTTCACTATTCCTGAACACCCAGATCTGATGAATGAGAAGCCACTCAGGAGAAGCAGGCCCATCTGTTGTGTGCTGAACAAGCTTTGAGTGAGCTGAGACCTGAGATCACCTGCTAGCAGCTGGGCAGGATGTGAGCTATAGGGTGCCCCATTCTTAGAGTCATGATCTAGATCCTATTCTCTGTTTTCAGGACTGCTGATATCACAAGAGGCTGTAGTGAGTTGGTTCTGAGCATTTCTATGTTAAATATAACCTCTTGAATTCCTAGGAACAGAGGTGACCCCTTTTAGAAACAGTTACCCTGGCTATGGGCTCTAGAAAGCATAGATGAACCAGTCCAACTTGCCTGCTGTGAGGAGGGCTCTTCCTTCAGATTTTCATCCAGGTCCACACCAACTCTGTGAAAGAAACAAATACAGAGTTGATCATCGTACGTGCCCAGCCCTGCTGCTGAGAAGACGAGATCTTGAGCATCAATCAAATCATCAGGTGACCTAAACACAATGGAAATGTGAGCGAAGGTTTGGTGAGAAAACCGTCCGGCCTCCCTAGAAACAGAAGCTCCAGGAAACAGATCACAGGAGTGCGGCCCTGAGAACTTGGCATAGGAGCCATCACAAGAAAGACCTCTGTAGCTTCAAAACCAGGGTTAACCCACAGGATTTGCTGAGAAAACTCTCCCACAATCATGGATCCCTAGGCTGGCGCAGGATTCTCTAATGCAGGGAAAATCGATGTGGGCTGTATGTCCACAGGGAGGGTCTATGTTGCGAGCCCTGAAGTGTATACAGTCTTGGGAGGTGGTTTCTTTAAGGAAATAATATAAAACACAAAAAATGGAATATCGTAAAGAGACTCTTTAGAAAAGGAGGTATCACAGAAATCCTATAAAGCTAGCAAATGCAGCCAATATCATCATCATCATCACCACCACCACAATGTTTTAATTAACTGCCCTGGCACACCTCTAAAATCACCTTTTGGGCTGTAAAATCTGCTAGCATACCCTGACATTTTCTTTATTTGATAATGATTTTCTATTAGTGGGGACAGAAAGAAAAGAGAGGAGATCTCCCCCAGCAAGCCTGGAATTCTTGCTAGCCTGGAGGAACTAAAGCATGCTTCCTCACCGAGACTGGCTTGCTCCATGCAGCACTGCCATGCTAACACGCCAAACAAAAGATTCCTGATAAATTTCGACTCGTGAAATTTCCATAAACTGTGTGCAACGTACTCATCTCTACGCATGCCTCCTTACTGAATACATCCCGGCATTTGGCATTTCCATTTTGACGGGGCGTCGACGAGAACTGAGTTTTCATTTCTCAGAATTGCTTCTGGCTCTGTATGTCCCTTGTCGTCCCCCCGCCCCTCCCCACCAGTACCTACGGGCTTTTGCTGTCAGGCGCCAAAGGATATGTCCACATTTATTGCAATCTTTATGCTCGGTTTCTATAAGCTTTTTCTACTTCGGGACAACCAGAGGTGACTCGGCACACGCAGAAGTCTCTGTGGCCGTATAAATGTATCCCACTCATTGCAGATGAAAGACACCCTCTCCTCAGCTGTTCCCAGTTTGGATCCCCCAGTTGTCCACAGAGGAAGAATGAGGGTGAGAGCGGAAAGCAGTAGCAGGCTGAAGAAACAGCAGCTCGATCTGTTTAAAAAAAAACATTCTCTCCCAAATCTTACAGAAACACAGACCCTGGGAACACAGTGCCGGGGTTCTTCCCAGGGTCCAGGAAGAGCTAGAGCAAGTGAGGGGCCCTGACAATTTGCATTTCCTCTCCCATAGAGTGAGCCCCTTGGGTTGGGGGTGGGCTGGGCGCCTAGGAGGAAGTTGGTGGGTGTGCAGCGAGCTTAGGTCAGGCTCCAGCAGCGATAACCACCCTCCCCACCTCCCCACCTCCCCACCTCCCTGCTGCCCTGGTAAGGCTGCTTTTAACGGATCCTTATTCTTTGCATGAGCCTCGACCGCTCTCAAATATCTCTTCAGGCATCTGGCTAGACAGAAGTCCTCAGAGCAACAAGCTGGTGAAAGGACAAGGGCCACAGTGAAGATGAGGTTGCTTGAAATACCAGATTCCTGCAAGTCAGGCTGCCCTGGGCACAGGTAGCCCTCTGCTTGAGTAGCTGAAGGGAGCAGCTCTTCATTGTCTCAATCCGTGGCTTTCAGGCTGGTAGGCAGGGCGCCGAGCGGAATAATATTCGGTTCTCCACGGCAGAGCAGAAAATATATTGTAATGATTTCATTGAAGGGGAAAAGGGCACGCGCATGGTAGGGGGGGCAGGGGTGAGGGGTAAGAGAAAGGGTGGAAAAGGTAGGAGGGAGAAAGGGAGGGGAAAGGAAGGACAGAAGGAAGGGAGTGGAAGAGGGGCGAGAGAGTAGAAGGGGTAGGTAAGATCCACCCAGGTCCAGCCCAGGCAGTGATCACAGGAGTGTGTGTGGAGGTCCATGCTGTCCCTTTTTTCCTGGGACTAGGACGCCCTCACTCTAGGTTGGTGGGGGTGAAGCTTCCACTCGTTCGGGGAGTTCCTTTGAAGTTTCATTTCAATAGCGTAGGTCCAACCTGTTCCAAGGCTGCTGGGCACCTGGACGGGCTGCAGTTTGAACTAGATAGATTCCCCAGGCAGCAGCTGCTCTGCCAGTTTTGAGCCTTTTTCTAGTGCTTTGCTGGAGACAACAGAAATGAAATTTCTCAAGAAAGCCAGCTACAAAAGAGGCAGCACTGAGGTTTTCCACCAGAAAATTTAAGCATTTCTTCCAAACAGCAATCAAAGCAGACACTTCTAATCCCAATTATTCAGGCAGCCAGATGGAACCGACGAAGGATGACAGCTGATTGAGGGCTTTGGCTTCCTGTGTGCAAAGCACCTCAAAGGCCTGCCTGGGAACAAGACACACTCCGTGCCCCGCCCCATCTCAGCCCCTTTCTGGCAGGAGGAGATCTGTTTCCTGTTTCTGGCCAGGTCCACTGGTGGGGTTTTAGCCTCCAGCAGGGTGGCTATCTGAAGTGGCCTGAGAGAAAGAAAGGAGTCACATGCCACCTGGGACAGCCTGGGGGAGCAAACAGAAATGGCCCCACGAGTATTTACTTTAGAAAAGTCAAGGTAAGTAAAATTTAGAAAAAACATGTGGTAGTGAAATGCCATAAAGGGACAAGCATAAGAAACACCGCCGTTTGCTTGTGAATTTGGCAATTCTTGATTTTTTTTTTTAAAAAGGACCAAAATATATTGCTTGGCACCCTGCCTCCTCAAACACAGGATCCTAGGGTGTTCTCTTCTCAAGCTGAGGGCTCAGCGTCGACCTTGGTCCCATAAAACCTGATGCGCGCCACTTCATATGGTTTCTGAGGGGTGCGTGAACCTCTTTATGGCCACCTTAAATGTTCCCCAACTACTATTACTATAAATTTTTTTTAATCTGCCAATGAGACTCCCTTGATTTCCAGGCCGCAACAATAGTGTGTTAGCTTATTCTCTCTGCGTCATGTTCCCCACCGCAGCAGCGCTTTTTATTTAGCGGGACTAATAGCCCGGTAATTAAATTGAACACGTTTTTTTATTTTTTTATTTTTAGGTTTATTATATAATAATGAATTGCAAACATTGTACAAGGATTCATGGAAACACCCAGTTGTTCATACTTCCCCTCATACACCCTCACCTCTTGTCTCTAAGGAGGGGGAGGGAGGGTTCTGTCTTTTTTTTTTCTTCAGAGCTAAGGGCTGACCGCAGGAGCACTGTACCGCTGAGCTAAATCCCCAGCCCCCCCCCCCCGTCTTTTTCTTGACGGGTGTATGTGATCGTGGATATTGACATGCTTGGCACACTCACCCAACACCCCCAGGAGTGTGCAAACATTCTGGCCACACCTGTATCACTCACTGTTCTATTCAAGGAAGCCAGTTTCAGAAGTGAAAGAGACCTATTTTCATGTTAACCTTGCATTCACTCACTTCTTCTTTTCTTTTGCGTCAATGGTCACTTCTACCCAATGAGTTTGGGGGGAGACTGTAGAAACAAGACACGATGTCACGCCGGCTTGGGATGCCACATGTGCACACAGCAGTTCCCCAAGTGATGTCCAGGACTCCAGCCTACTTCAGGCGATACCTCTCCCGTGATGTCAAGGTTTCCCTCCGGCCAATCTGACCTCATGTCTGTCTCTTAGCCGGACTTCATTCCGAAGCCAGTACCATATGCTGTCTCTGAGCTCTGATTGTGTCCTGCTTCAACCATGCCTTTCTCATCACCTGACGTCTTCTCTCCAGTAGCCAAGCTTGTTGTTTGGGCCGCACTGGCTGCTGCTGGGCATCTGTAATGTTCTGCCTTCCTTTTGAGCTTTCACACGTTGCTGTTCTGTTTCCTGCCGACTCTATGACTCATCTTCACCTCGCCCCCCCCCAACAGCCAGGAGGCCTTCATTGATCTCAAATTCCTGTCTTAACACTCTCTTTTAGACATACTTCTCCAAGCTGTAGATCCTGTGTGCAACGGAGATCACCTTACTTTGTCTGTGGTGACCCTGGTTTACCCTCTGTTGGCCTGTGTGGCTACACTGAGGTGACCCTGAAGGATGAATCAGTGCTCCATATCATTTGCCAACCCTCACTGGAGCCCCAGTGACTCCAGGGCCAACCTTCAGCTGTTGAAGTATCAAGAAAAGCCAGCTGTTATGGGGCACAGTGGCACAAGCTTGTAATCCCAGCACCCATGGGAGGGAGGTGAATCTCTGTGAGTTTGAGGCCAGCCTGGCCAACAAAGTGAGTCTAGGACAGTCAAGGCTACACAGAGAAACCCTGTCTAGAAGGAAAACAAACAAAACAACCAAAGCAGGGTGTAGGGGCTGGGGAAGAGGAGTGGTCTAAAGCCAGACTCCTGGGAATCCTGGGTCTACCTCTCGACATGTATGGCTGAATCACGCACAGTGTCTCTATCTGATTTATTAGTACAAAGGGGGTGATCATATACCACAGCCTCATGGAGTGATTATAAAAAGTGTTTAGCTTAGAACCTAGAACCTAGAACCTAGAAAGCTCTTAAGTGTTATCAGCTACAGCCTGGTGCCTTTAATCCCAACACTAGGGAAGCCAGAGGCAGTCAAATCTCTGTGAGTTCAAGGCTACAATGGTCTACAGAGTGAGTTCCAGGACAGCCAGGGCTGCACAGAGAACCCCTATGCTATCAGCTGCTGTTGATATTAATTTTTATTGTTATCAGTATTTACTGTCAGTAACATTAGGGTTCAGACTTGCCATGCCGGTTACTTACCAGTGTCTCTCGACAAACCCTTAGGTCCTGCATTGATGTATTGTAGAATTTATATCAACAGCCCCATTGAGTCATAGGCCAGTGCACAACTGGAATAAAGGGTATCATTTCTATCCATATC